ACTTTGGGAGGCCTAGGAAGATTGATCACTTGAGGCCGGGAGTTCGAGACCAGCCTGGCCAACGTGGTGAAACCCCATCTCTACTAAAAATATAAAAATTATCTGGGTGTGGTGGCACATGCCTGTAATCCCACCTACTTGGGAGGCTAAGGCAGGAGAATCACTTGAACCCAGGAGGTGGAGGTTGCAGTGAGCCGAGATTGCACCACTGCACTCCTGCCTGGCTGACAGAGTAAGACTTGGTCTAAAAATCTTTACAAAACCCAGCAGCACCTCTCTGTCTCCCTCCAATTCACCCAAAGCTTTTTACTTTGTATAGACTTCTGAGAAGAGTCTGTAAAATGAAATATAACCGTACTCAATGATCCCCCACCACAGTTCCTTCTTTTTTGAGACAGTCTAACTCTGTCGCCCAGGCTGGAGTGCAGTGCCCAATCTCGGCTCGCTGCAACCTCTGCTTCCCGGGTTCAAGCAATTCTCCTTCCTCAGCCTCCTGAGTAGCTGGGACTACAGGAGCGCACCACCACACCCAGGTAATTTTTTTGTATTTTTAGTAGAGACAGGGTTTCACCATGTTGTCCAGGCTGCTCTCGAACTCCCTGACCTTAGTTGATCTGCCTGCGTTGGCCTCCCAAAGTGCTGGGATTACAGGAATGAGCCCCTGCGCCCAGCCCCAGTTTAGAATTCAGAATAGTTCATGGTAGTGAAAAGTGTCCAGCAGTCAACCTCCGACCAAAGCAGGCCAAGGGAATAATGACGGTCTCCCTCGAGAGATTCCTTCTAAGCCCTCACAGAATCATTCTAGAATGAAAGACCATGCACCAGCTTTGTTCCAAGGAGGCCTGAAAAGGGAAACCAAGAGGTGAGGAAGGAACTAAAGAGCCTTGGAAGGAAGGAAGTTCAACGCAGCACAGTCAGAGACTCTAGAAGTTAAACCCCAATGAACCTGGAAAACACTCTTAAGTAGTTCGGCACCAAGATCTTTTCAGTGCTGGTCCCTGGGAAAAAAGGACTTAATCTGCACCGACTACAATCACACATTCCTCCAATTTTTTTTTTTTTTCTGGAGACAGGTCTCGCTCTATTGCCTAGGATGGAATGCAGTGGGTCACTGCAGCCTCAACCTCTCAGGCTCGATCAGTCTCCTGCCTCAGCCTCCCGGGTAGCTAGGACTACCAGCATGCACCATCATAGCTGGCTAAACTGTTTATTTTTTGTAGATATCGATAGGGTCTATGTTGCCCAGGCTGGTCTTGAACTCCCAGCCTCAAGCAGTCCTCCTTCCTTGGCCTCCCAAAGCACTTGGGATTATAGGTGTGAGCCACTGCGTCCAACCCCATGGCCTAATTTTCAAACAGGATTTTACCTAAACTATGTCAAACAGATCAGTAGCCAGTCTATTTTAAAGTCCAAATGATAAGGAGATTTCCTTCCAATAGCAAGGTTTAAGTTCTATTAAACCTGTTTCCTCAACACAGCAAGTTTAGAAATGTTCTGTTCATTCTATCCTAAAGGGCGTGTATACTTCACGTTTATCCATGTACATGTTGCTGGAGTTTCACATAAAAACACAATCATTTCTCAATCAAATGTTTTCTGAAGACACTGAGGTCACGGGGTTGGTCTCACAAACACACTGAGCACATTTGGCAGGGGCAAAGCTCACTTTCTTCCACTCCAGTGTCCCCAAAGTGTTCCATTACTTGAGAGGTCAGGAATTCCTCACCATGTCTTGTAACTACCAGTGGTGCTTCTGACACTTTGCTTCACAGAGACTGCCTGCGGCTCCTCTCCTATTCCAGCAGAAATAAAAGCGTTTCTTATTTATTTTTGTGTGTGTGAGACAGAGTTCCACTCTTGTTGCCCAGGCTGGAGTGCAATGGCGCGATCTCCATTCACTGCAACCTCTGCCTCCCAGGTGCCAGTGATTCTCCTGCCTCAGCCTCCTGATTAGCTGGGATTACAGGCATGCGCCACCACACCCAGCTAATTTTGTATTTTTAGTAGAGACGGGGTTTCTCCATGTTGGTCAGGCTGGTCTCGAACTCCTGACCTCAGGTGATCAGTCCGCCTCAGCCTCCCAAAGTGCTGGGATTACAGGCCTGAGCCACCATGCCTGACCTAATAAAAGTGTTTGTGGCCAGGCGCGGTGGCTCACGCCTGTAATCCCAGCACTTTGGGAGGCCGAGATGGGCGGATCATGAGGTCAGGAGATCGAGACCATCCTGTCTAACACAGTGAAACCCCGTCTCTACTAAAAATACAAAAACTAGCCGGGCGTGTGGTGGGCGCCTGTAATCCCAGCTGCTCGGGAGGCTGAGGCGAGAGAATGGCGTGAACCCAGGAGGTGGAGCTTGCAGTGAGCTGAGATCGCGCCACTGCACTCCAGCCTGGGCGACAGAGCAAGACTCCGTCTCAAAAAAAAAAAAAGTGTTTGTATGCAGAGATGATCCACAAAGAAATTCTTTTTCTAAAAAAAGTCATTTTTAGCTCCCTGATCAGTTTCTTTGACGACACCCAACACACCCAGTTCAGCAATCCATTTATATCTGAATAAAAAGCTTTCCAAGGCAAAGATGAATTCTGAGGACACACTGGAAATACCCAGTCATCCCCAAGCCCCACCTCATCCTCAAGGGAACTTTCTGAGGAGCTTCTGGATGGGAGATGCAGCTGCCTTTTTAAGTGGCATAGCATATCCATATTTGGCCAGCTGTGAAAACAGATGTAAGCTCTAGTAAAGGCCTGGCAGTGAGCAGAATGGTCTTTGATTCTGGAATGATTTTGAGGGCTAAGAAGGGACTTAACAGTAAAAGCTAAGCTACACAAACCAGGCTAGAAAAGAGAGCTAGGTTTAAATCACACCCTGGGCAACTGACTCAACCCTTCTCTTGCTCAAAGCCTCCATTCCCACCCACCACCTCTGTTAATGTTTTCCCATTCTTCCAGCTCTGAACACCCCAACTAGAATGTACTCCAGGCTGGCAGAGATATGGTCTGTGTTGTTCACCACCATAACCCTAGCACAGTGCCTGACACAAAATAGGAAATCAAGACATAATTGATCAATAAATGAATGAACACAGCACAAAATGTCTAGATGCTATATCCTCTGGGTGGGGGGATGGTATAGTATCACCATTAAGGGTTCAACCAACCTCGCTCTATCATCCACTGACTTTAGGATAACTTTAAAGAAGTTATTTACGAGACCATCCTGGCTAACAAGGTGAAACCCCATCTCTACTAAAAATACAAAAAATTAGCCGGGCGTGGTGGCAGGCGCCTGTAGTCCCAGCTACTCGGGAGGCTGAGGCAGGAGAATGGCGTGAACCCGGGAGCTGGAGCTTGCAGTGAGCTGAGATCGCGCCACTACACTCCAGCCTGGGCCACAGAGCCAGACTCGGTCTCAAAAAAAAAAAAAAAAAAACAACAAGAAGTTATTTAACCCCTCTGGGGCTCTGTTATTCACCTCTAAAATGAAGATAACAACACAATCTACTTCATAGGATTTCTGCAAAAATTAAATAAGATGATGTACATCAAGCACTTAGCACAGTGGAGGCCCAGAGTAACTTGCAGTAACTGCTAGAGGCATGCTGACTGACATCATTGCTGGTTTGCCCCAAGCCAGAGTCATCACCATCAGCTGGAAATTTTTTTTTTAATTAATGAAGTATTATTATTTCTTTTTTTGAGATGGAGTCTCACTCTATCGCCCAGGCTGGAGTGCAGTGACATGATCTTGGCTCACTGCAAACTCTGCCTCCTGGGTTCACACCATTCTCCTGCCTCAGCCTCCCGAGCAGCTGGGACTATAGGTGCCCGCCACCTTGCCCGGCTAATTTTTTGTATTTTTAATAGTACGGGGTTAGCCAGGATGGTCTTAATCTCCTGACCTCATGATCCACCCACTTCGGCCTCCCAAAGTGCTGGGATTACAGGTATGAGCCACCATGCCCAGCCTGGAAATTTCATTATCCCAAGTAAAAGCTCTCCTTAGGGAAGCTGGGTGCGGTGGCTCACGCCTGCAATCCTAGCACTTTGGGAGGCTGAGGTGGGTGGATCAAGAGGTCAGGAGTTCGAGACCAGCCTGACCAACACGGTGAAACCCTGTCTCCACTAAAAATACAAAAATTAGCTGGGTGTGGTGGCGCATGCCTGTAGCCCCAGCTACTTGGGAGGCTGATGTGGGAGGATTGCTTGAGTTATGATGGTGCCACTGCACTCCAGCCTAGGCAATAGAGGAAGACCATGTCTCCAAAAAAAAAAAAAAAAAAAGAGAGAGAGAAAAAAAAATAGGGATAATTGAACAAGGAGGATCCTTATTCAATACTTACTACTCCCTCCCTCAAAAGGATATATCTTTTGAATTAAAAAAGAAACCTAGGCCACTACGGTGGCTCATGCCTGTAATCCCAGAACTTTGGGAGGCCAGAGGTGGGAGGATCACCTGAGGTCAGGAGTTTCAGACTAGGCTGGCCACCATGGTGAAACTCTGTCTCTACTAAAAATACAAAAAATTGGCCAGGCGCAGTGGCTCACAGCCTGTAATCCCAGCACTTTGGGAGGCCGAGGCAGGCAGATCACCTGAGGTCGGGAGTTCGAGACCAGCCTGACCAACATGGAGAAACCCCTTCTCTACTAAAAATACAAAATTAGCTGGGTATGGTGGTGCATGCTTGTAATCCCAGCTATTCGGGAGGCTGAGGCAGGAGAATCGCTTGAATCCAGGAGGCAAAGGTCACGGTGAGCCGAGATCACGCCATTGCACTCCAGCCTGGGCAACAAGAGCGAAACTCCGTCTCAAAAAAAAAAAAAAATGCAAAAAATTAGCCAGGCGTGGTGGCATGTGCTTGTGATCCCAGCTACTCAGGAGGCTGAGGCAGGAGAATCGCTTGAGCTGGGGAGGTGGAGGTTGCAGTGAGCCCAGATTGTGCCACTGCACTCCAGCCTGGGTGACAGAGCGAGTCTCTGTAACAACAACAAAAAAAAGGCCCTGGTGTGATTCCGTCCCGCGCGGCTGTTCTCTGGAGCAGCGTTCGTTTATCTCCGTCCGCCTTCTCTCCCACCTAAGTGTGTGCCACCACCTGATGGAAGATTCGATGGACATGGAGATGAGCCCCCTGAGGTCCCAGAACTATCTTTTCAGTTGTGAACTAAAGGCCGACAAAGATTATCACTTTAAGGTGGATAATGATGAAAATGAGTACCAGTTATCTTTAAGAACGGTCAGTTTAGGGGCTGGTGCAAAGGATGAATTGCCCATTGTTGAAGCAGAGGCAATGAATTACGAAGGCAGTCCAATTAAAGTAACACTGGCAACTTTGAAAATGTCTGTACAGCCAACGGTTTCCCTTGGGGGCTTTGAAATAACACTACCAGTGGTCTTAAGGTTGAAGTGTGGTTCAGGGCCAGTGCATATTAGTGGACAGCACTTAGTAGCTGTGGAGGAAGATGCAGAGTCAGAAGATGAAGAGGAGGAGGACGTGAAACTCTTAAGTATATCTGGAAAGCGGTCTGCCCCTGGATGTGGTAGCAAGGTTCCACAGAAAAAAGTAAAACTTGCTGCTGATGAAGAAGATGATGATGATGATGATGAAGATGATGATGATGAAGATGATGATGATGATGGCTTTGATGATGAGGAAGCTGAAGAAAAAGCACCAGTGAAGAAATCTATACAAGATACTCCAGCCAAAAATGCACAAAAGTCAAATCAGAATGGAAAAGACTCAAAACCATCATCAACACTAAGATCAAAAGGACAAGAATCCTTCAAAAAACAGGAAAAAACTCCTAAAACACCAAAAGGACCTAGTTCTGTAGAAGACATTAAAGCAAAAATGCAAGCAAGTATAAAAAAGGTAGTTCTCTTCCCAAAGTGGAAGTCAAGTTCATCAATTATGTGAAGAATTGCTTCTGGATGACTGACCAAGAGGCTATTCAAGATCTCTGGCAGTGGAGGAAGTCTCTTTAAGAAAATAGTTAAAACAGTTTGTTAAAAATTTTCCGTCTTATTTCATTTCTGTAACAGTTGATATCTGGCTGTCCTTTTTATAATGCAGACTGAGAACTTTCTCTACCGTGTTTGATAAATGTTGTCCAGGTTCCATTGCCAAGAATGTGTTGTCCAAAATGCCTGTTTAGTTTTTAAAGATGGAACTCCACCCTTTGCTTGGTTTTAAGTATGTATGGAATGTTATGATAGGACATAGTAGTATCGGTGGTCAGACATGGAAATGGTGGGGAGACAAAAATACACATGTGAAATAAAACTCAGTATTTTAATAAAGTGAAAGAAAGAAAAAGAAAGAAAGAAAGAAAGAAAGAAAGAAAGAAAGAAAGAAAGAAAGAAAGAAAGAAAGAAAGAGAGAAAGAAAGAGAGAAAGAAAGAGAAAGGAAGGAAGGAAGGAAGGAAGGAAGGAAGGAAGGAAGGAAGGAAGGAAGGAAGGAAGGAAGGAAGGAATCTATACGGCTGGGCAGGTGGCTCACACCTGTAATCCCAGCACTTTGGGAGGCCTAGGCGAGTAGATTGCTTGAGGCCAGGAGTTCGAGACCAGAATGGGCACCATGGCAAAACCCCATCTCTACTAACAATACAAAAAATTAGCTGGGCATGGTGGCACATGCCTGTTAGTCTCAGCTACTCAGGAGGCTGAGGTGGAAGGATGGCTTCAGCCAGGGAGGCAGAGGTGGCAGGGAGCTGAGATCACACCACTGCACTCCAGCCTGGGCAACAGTGTGAGACACCTTCTCAAAAGATTTTTATTTTATTTTATTTTATTTTACTTTATTTTACTTCACTATTTTATTTTATTTTATTTTAATTTTATTTTTGAGACAGAGTCTTGCTCTGTCGCCCAGGCTGGAGTGCAGTGGCATGATCTCGGCTCACTGCAACTTCCACCTCCCGGGTTTAAGCCTCCCACGTAGCTGGGATTACAGGCACCTATCGCCATGCCAGGCTAATTTTAGTAGAAACAGGATTTCACCATGTTGGCCAGGCTAGTCTCGAACTCCTAACTTCAGGTAATCCAGCCGCCTCTGCCTCCCAAAGTGCTGGGATTAATAGCCATGAGCCACCGTGTCTGGCCTAAAAGATCGTTTTCAGAGAAAAAAAAAGAAACCTATAATAAGATTGCATAAATATATATATATACACACACACACACACACACACACACACACACACACATATATATAATACATAAGAAAACATTCAATCTTCTTCAAAAGAATGATATGGCCCAGTGTGGTGGCTCACGTCTGTCATCCCAGCACTTTGGGAGGCTGAGGCATAAGGATCATGTGAGGCCAGGACTTTGTGACCAGTCTGGGCAACATAGCAAGACCCCGTCTCTATTAAAAATTAAAAAATAGCTGGGCACTGTGGTTCATGCCTGAATCCCACTAATTTAATTTCTTAATTCATGAAACGAGTGGAAGGTTGGGGAGAAGCAAAGGGAAAGTAGGGAGAGAAAGAAAGGAAAAGGGGAAGAGGTAGGTAGGTTGTCTGTAAATATCACAGATCTAGGTAACAGTTAACTGAGACATAGGGAAAAAAATTATAGAGCACCAAATGACCTACCAATTACAAACTAAACCCATGAGTCAGTAGGCCAGAATGGGGATGCAAAAAGAACCATGGAGCCAGGTACGGTGCCTCATGCTTGTAACCCCAGCACTTTGGGAGGCTGAGGCGGGTGGATCACCTGAGGTCAGGGGTTCGAGACCAGCCTGACCAATGTGATGAAACCCCATCTTTACTAAAAATAAAAAAATTAGCTGGATGTGGTGGTGTGTGCCTATAGTCCCAGCTACTTGGGAGGCTGAGACAGGAGAATTGCTTGAACCCGGGAGGCGGAGGTTGCAGTGAGCCGAGATAGTGCCACTGCATTCCAGCCTGGCAACAGAGGGAGATTTCGTCTCAAAAAAAAAAAAAAAGAACGGTGGAATCCCCAAAAAGCCTTTACTCAGAGATAAACAAAAAAGAGAGCTTCAGGCCGGGCGTGGTGGCTCAAGCCTGTAATCCCAGCACTTTGGGAGGCCGAGACGGGCGGATCACGAGGTCAGCAGATCGAGACCATCCTGGCTAACCTGGTGAAACCCCGTCTCTACTAAAAAATACAAAAAACTAGCCGGGCGAGGTGGTGGGCGCCTGTAGTCCCAGCTACTCGGGAGGCTGAGGCAGGAGAATGGCGTAAACCCGGGAGGCCGAGCTTGCAGTGAACTGAGATCCGGCCACTGCACTCCAGCCTGGGCGACATAGCGAGACTCTGTCTCAAAAAAAAAAAAAAAAAAAAAACAAAAAAGAGAGCTTCATTCCAGGGAATGAATGCCTCTGCCATCCCTCCCTAGTCTCATTTAATCTGAGTTTTCACTTTAAATCATTTGTTCAGAGATACTACTGAAACTCACAAAGCACGCAATTGACAATTCAATAAGTATTTATGACTGCTGTAGAATGATACACATAAACTGTATTGAGCGCTTTGAAAGAAAAAGTTATGAGAGATGAGTTTAGCTATGTAGATAACATATTCATGAGACAGAAGGGATTGAGCTGGAAAGTAGAGGAACTTCTAGAATACTCTGAATGCTGGATTGCGCAGTATCACGCTGCCCCTTCACTTGAACCTGAGGGTCTGTGACTTCATGCCAGAACCAGGCTCTGGCAGTTCTTTCAAGTATTCTAACATCTAGAGTCAAATTTCCTAGGAAAGAGAGCAATAACCTAGTCTCATTAAGAAGAAAATCAGGAAGGGACCAAAAATTCTAGAAGCTACCTGGAAGTCCAATTATCCTCCAGTGAAGTCATGCCAGAGATCAGCTACTTATGTATGTCTGGAAAACATCTTTGCCCCAAGAACTCCAACTATGACCAAGCTGACCATATAAACCAGTCAACAGAGCCTCTTCAATGCTAGCCAAAAGCCAGTGAAAAGAGGGGCAAAATAGGCCAGGTGCAGTGGCTCATGCCTGTAATCCCAGCACTTTGGGAGGCCAAGGTGGGTAGATCACCTGAGATCAGGACTCCAAGACCAGCCTGGCCAACATGGTGAAACCCCGTCTCTACTAAAAATGTAAAAATTAGCCAGGAATGGTGGCAGGTGCCTGTAATCCCAGCTACTTGGGAGGCTGAGGCAGGAGAACCACTTGAACCCAGGTTGCAGTGAGCCAAGATTGCACCATTGCACTCCAGCCTGGGCAACAAGAGCGAACCTCCGTCTCAAAAAAAAAAAAAGAAGGGGAAAATGAACAAAACATTCTCCAGGGAAGCATCCAACCTTCCCCCCCTTCAAAAGCTCCTCCTGTGTCTCTTTCCATAGGTCTTTCCAACTCCTCTTGCCTGAAACTTCTTTACCCTTGTTTTTCTTCCCTTCTTCACAGTCTCCCCACATCTTTCCTCCGATTTCCCATCAAGCAAATGTGTTCCATACATTTAGCAGTTCTAACCTCACATAGAAATGATCTCATGAGAGAGCTCCTCCCAAAGCAGGGAAGACTCCCCGGAAAAGTCTGACCAGCCATCCAAAGTGCGTCTGCCCTATATAATCTCCCAGATAAACTCAAGGGTGGCTCGGCCAGTAGATGCACCCACAGGAAAACACTGAAGGTCAAATTAATAAGAAATATGTCTATTATGTTAATCCTGGCTCAAAAAGTCAAATGCCTGCTCGATTCCAGAAAAATCAATCACTTCAAGGAATTGACAGGCCAGGGGAAAAAAAAAAAAAAAAAACAGAATCATGCAAACTGGAGGTAACTTAAAGTAGTTAAAGACAGGTTCTCTGAAAAGCTGACTCACGGTGGTTTCAATGGCTTACATGGGTCAAATTTTAAACATCCTTGTACTAAAACAAAATAGCCTATCAAGTTAAATGCCAAGAGTCTGTTGTAACTGAATGATCCCCAGGCTGAAAAAGCTCACAAGACACTGAGCAGAAACTGAAGGCACATAATAGAGTTTCTTTCATCTTTCTTTTGGTCTGAGTCATCCTCAACCCTATGTTTCCCAGTAAATGCCATATAATGCCTTCCCCTCTACCACTATCACTAAACAAAAGGGGCTTCTATCTTTGCCTTAAAGGCAACAACGGAGGACGAGGCCCTGCTACTAACCCAACTATTGGTTATAATTTTGACAGCTCCTAAGATCTTTTTTTTTATTGTTATATTTATATGACACCTAAGAAACCAATAATAGATATATTCATGTTCTGACCAGAACTTGCCAAAGGGCTAACCAGCCATTGCACCAAAATTAGTCCTTACATTATAATACTCTGGCCATTGGAAGAGAAAAATGGGAAAATTCAACAATTTGAAAGATGATGATCCCTCTGGCCACAATCTACTGACCAGAATGAAGTCCTGAAGGATTTCCTCCTGTTATGTTATCTAACGGCCAATCTCAGAGGAGCTGAAAAGAACAAGCCCCAGGAAGCTACCCTAGACCAGAAAGCCAAGAACAGGGCCAAGAAAGTGAATGGCAGACAAGCCTAAGATAGAAGTGGCATGGACATGTGGCAGACTAGCACAGCCAGTTTGTGGTAAAGAATTCCCATACAGGGCTGGGTGCAGTGGCTCATGCCTGTAATCCCAGCACTTTGGGAGGCCGAGGCAGGCAGATCACTTGAGGTCAGGAGTTCGACATCAGCCTGGCCAACATGGCAAAGCCCCATCTCCACTAAAAATACAAAAATCAGCTGGGCATGGTGGTAAGAGCCTGTAGTCCCAGCTATTCAGGAGGCCGAGGCAGGAGAATTGCATGAATCCGAGAGGCGGAGGTTGCAGTGAGCCAAGAAGGTGCCACTGCACTCCAGCTGGGTGACAGAGTGAGACTCCATCTGAAAGAAGGAAGGAAGGAAGGAAGGAAGGAAGGAAGGAAGGAAGGAAGGAAGGAAGGAAGGAAGGAAGGAAG